TATTAATTGACTTGAAATCATCATTATTGTTATATGGTTACCTTTATATTGACATGTAGTAACTAATTTATAATGTTAACTATAATTCATTTGTAATTTTATTTTATAATTTATATCTTATTGTTATTATTTATTTTATTAATTTCAAAATTATTATGTAAATATTGACTTGCCATTGTGTGACGAAAACTGTTACATTGGTTAATAAAGAAATATGAAATATGAAATATTATAGGTAACTTATTATTCTGTAACGTTCTTGTTAACTTGTTTTCCATTGACAGTAATAACAAAATTAAATTTAAATAATTCAGTCATTTGGAAATAACCTAATTACATTTGCTTGCGCCCTCCTCAGGGAACTGATCCAGCTGGCCTGTGCTAGTCACGGGACTACTTTACGGGCAGACACCCCAGGTCATCAGCGTCTGAGGACTCGTTCAACGAACCATCATAAAAGACTAGTCCGGAGATCAATCGAGGAACATCAGCCCAGAGGGCAACTCTTGGCTTACTGGCCTACTCAAACTAATCCAGGTGAACAATTCCAGTCAACAACCATGCCGCAATACCACGGCTAACAACAACGAGACTATCCAGTGACGGAGGTAATTTGACTGTCTTTTAATACAAACATGAACAAAATTTGCGAAAATTCACAACTCTCGCAAACACTAATTCAAAGGTCGCTAGAAATACAAACGATATCTGCTCGGAGCTAGAGAAAGCATTTTCTGTCATATGTAAACTTAATCAAAATTACCTGAATTATGACTAAGATTCGCGAGGACAGCAATCTTTATGGTGGTCTAATGTGAACACTATGTTTAGCAGTGGACGGTTAATATCTGATATGATGAAATTAAATATATCTTAAAAAATCTACCAGCATTTAAATATTTCTTTTTTGACAGCACAACACCCAATATCTTAACCTATTGACAATCTTATTTGCGTGTATGTGTATTTAAATTTAAAATTTATTTAAACTGAGAAATCTTTAACAGTTCATTCAAATAAGTAAAATTTTCAAATAGATCCACTCGTCCCGATGTATCCCGAGGGATATTGTCGCAACTCGAAGAGGCAGTACAAATTCAATTTCGGTCCTTATCGTATTTGTCCACTTCATTTTGGTGTTGCCACATAATGGTGATAGGAGAGTGGATTTGCAGTAAGCAGAAATCGGTTGGCTAGTAAAAATCACCAAAATAGAAAGTTGAATTTTATTATTATTATTTTGTTCAATAATACAAAGACTTCATGTACGCTTGAGTTTAGACCGAAGGATCCGATCGAATCTAACCGAAATCCAGTTGGCAAATTTACAAACTAGTGTTGCCATTTCGCAATAAAAATTTATAAACATTAACAAAACGATTTGTATCTATATATGATTATATGATTGTGTTTTATTATGATAATAACAATATACAAATTAAACCTAAGGATAATTCTACACAAAACTCATTTTTAAGCAACTTTGGAAATTGCTTAAAAATGAGTTGAGAGCGAAGGAGTTTATCAATTCGTCTCTTTTATTTTAGTTAGTTGATTTGAATTATTTTGTTTAATTTCACTACTATTAGTATATGTGAAATTATCAACATTTGAGGAATGATTACTATTATTATTATTAGAAGTTCGACAAGTTTCTCTATTTCATCTGTAAACGAAGCATCTTTAGGCAATTCAATTATTTGCCCAAAGATGCTTCCTATAGAGGGAGGAACACATGTTGCAACATATGCGTAGACTGAATAACAACCAGAGATCGATGCCTAATAGGTAACGTCGTAGGACTTCTACTAATAACAAATATAGTCTTCAAATTTTCACTGTTGCACGTATGCTAACGGTAGCCAAACTAATTTAATCTACTAACTAACTAACTGTGGGGGAAAGGGATTGTTAGTAATAGGTTCTAACAGCCCATTGCTAACAATACAACTTAACAGGTCGATGTCCACGCGGTTCCTCCCGGAAACCATTGTGGTTAATCCTTTATGATTTCTTCACGATGGACTAACTGACCTGCCTTCATCTTCACATATCATCTATCACTGGTGCCCCACCAGCGTGACCACCTCCTAGAAACTATCGTGGCTAATTCTTGTTAAATTCGTCACGATGGGCTAACTGATTTGCTTCATCCTCATCTATCATCACTCACTGGTGCCCCGCCAGTGTATACCGATAGGGCAGGCGGGGTTACCATTCCATTTTCACCAATTAAAAATAAAACTAACTAACTGACATGGACATTAAAATCTTTTGTTTTTGTAACAAAAACTTCTATAATGATAATTTATTTAAAAAGAGAAATACACAGCTGCTCAAATTTATCAAACCCTACTTGTTGCTGACAACTTCGTTCGCAGAACTTTTTTTATTATAATATTCTTTTTTTATATTACATTTCATACGTGTTTAACTTTCTGACACTTTTATCTTCATGCATTTAAACGTATACAGCTTCATGTAACGTGTATAAGTGTTATTGAAACGGAGATAATACTTTTAATATGCAATGAGAGGATTTTAGAATGGAAAACTACAGAAAAGATGAGGAGACAGACATTAGCAAAATATATTTGAATGTAAAAACAATATGTCAAAAAAATATAAATTTCGAATGACAATAAGAATATAAAAATGTAGCAAGGAGTTCGCTACAGTTATCGTTCACTCACACTATCTGTTTGGCAGTATTTTTTTTTATGTGTGATAATGGAATAGTAACTCCGCCTGCGCTATCGGTATACACTGGCGGGGCACCAGTGAGTGATGATAGATGAGGATAAAGCAAGTCAGTTAGCCCATCGTGACGAATTTAACAAGAATTAGCCACGATAGTTTCTAGGAGGAACCACGTGGAGGTCGACCTGATAGGGTATATTGTTAGCAATAGAGCTATCAAGCCTCATTAATAACAATCCTTTTCGTCCCATTTGGAAGTGCTTAGTAAATGGATTAATGAGAATGACAAAAATCTTAATACCTTTACTGGGGGAAGGGATTATTAGTAATGCGGAGGTAAGTCCCCATTGCTATCAATATACCTTATCAGGTCAACCTCCACGCGATTCTCCCTGGAAACCGTCTTGACTAAATTATCGTTAAATTCGTCACGATGGGCTAACTGACCTGCCCTTTCATCTTCACCAATCATCCCTCACTGGTGCCCCGCCAGTGTATACCGATAGCGCAGGCGGGGTTACCATTCCATTTTCATCCATTAAAAAAAATACCTTTACTATTTCATTTTTCTTACATCATCACAATCGTGGCATGACTTAATGATAGAGCACCTATTACTCCGTTCATAACCAATACCTTAACCTCACATACGGTGCAGCGATGCTGTAAACTTAGCTAAGTTAGGCTAAGCCAGTGCTACAATGCACCCAGATGTTAAGTACGAACTTTATGTGGCTACATTTTATTGCACTATGTGTACATTGAGTTAGAGCTGAGGAAAGTGCTCACGACGCGTGTTTGAGTTCAATAATTGTGTCCTTATAAAATATGACTAGTAACGTGTCCTAGCTTCGCACGGTTTTTTTTTAAATAAAATTATGCAGTAAAAGTGATTTTTTTAAATAGTTAAGTATTACTTTACTTATCCATTCTTACTAATATTATAAATGTGAAAGTGAGTTTGTTTGTTTGTTACCATTAGACGCTTTAACGGCTTAATCAATCGCTATAGGTTTACAGGTAATATGAAATAAAGAAGGTCATAGGCTATGTTTGTCCTGGTCAGAGAAAATGGTAAGAAGCCCGTGAACGATTTTTATAGATAATATCCATCTAGTAATTATTAATAATTTTACATTAAAAAAGTGACTACATACAATCACTTCTAGATTACAGTAAATTCTATGAGTTGGCTGGCTGATAAACAACACGGACGTACAACTTGGGAGTTTTAAGATACTGCCATAAGACAAATTATGTTTTGAGTGTACGTGAACGTGACGTATGTACAAGTCCTTAAAATTTTTCCTCTATTCTATGATGTTACATTGTATTTTTGTGGTATTCTAAGAAAAAAACATGTATTGACAAGACTGTTTGCTTCCTATAAATAAATAATATTAAGCCCGCGAGAAGGTGGTAATAAAATAATAATGATATTTGGTCATATCTTAGATTGACACGTAACACGTATCTTATTCTAATTCATGCAGACAATATTGCAGGATATAGTTCACACAGATAAAGCCGCTGTATTTAATAAGCTTGCCTAATAAAGTCTTGGAGTTGAAACTATTTACATGACGTCATGCTTACTAAAATTATAAATGTATATATAAGTCTCTTAATAGTTTTTGTTATTTCTTAGGTCTTAGCGTCTTAACTAACCGCCATGATGTTCGGTACATACGTACCAAAATCATATAAAGGATTGAAAATGGGATAAGTTGCTTTTTAATTTGTTCAATGACCATATCTCAAACAAATAATTTTTAACAGCGACAAAACGAAACAAACAATATAAATTATCTACCCCTTCCACTTTCATTTTAGACGCAATTATTTAAAGATGTAGTTTTTTTTATGCAACTTAAAATAGCAAACAAGCCGACGGCCCACCTGATAGAAAGTGGTAACTGTCGCCTATAGACATGAACAGTATCATGGACATAACAGAGTATACTGTTTCGCCTATGATACCTCCATGCATTGCCATTCCTGAAAACTTAGGTGTTGTTATTCTGTACCTTGTAAATTCACTGCCATATCCCACTCTTCAAACCAAAACACAGCCATGCAAATACAACTGCTTCACGGTTGAAACGAATAGGGCAGAAGTGCCCAAGCAAACGACTATCGTACAAAGTCTGCCTTTGCTAGACGTAGTTCTATCCAGTTGCTGCTACACGGAAAAAAGAGCGACTAAATAACTTATAAACGGTCATCTGATCCTAAAAAGATTGCACTTATTATCTTACCCTATTTTTTTGCGTTTTTGTTGCAATTGATTAAAACTAAGATTGTATTTTTGCAAGTTTTATTTTTCAATGTATTTTATTTATTTTATATTATTTAATTCATACATTATATCTTGAAAAGTAATTAATGCTTTTCTCGTTTCGAGTATTCATCAAATGTGATGCAATTATCTTCGTTGCCTGAAGGAGGAATATATTGGAATGATTCCACCATTAAAGACAAATTATTCGATGATTTTCCCACAAGTCGGAACTAAAATAAAAAAAAATCCTTCGATTTAATCCTACCAATATTATAAATAAGATAGTTAAAATGTTTTTAATTGCGTTTAAATGATTAAAAAAATTTGGAAGAAATTATATGTATTATACACAGATATATCATAGACTACATTACCGCACTTCCTAAATTACTATTAGATATACAAATACATTTATACCAGAATTTATTTTTTGTGGGATAAATTGAATTATAATTAATATGCGAAATGTATTAAAATCACATAACACTTAAATATTATATGTATATTAACTCTTTGATAACACTGCTATATCTAAAGTTATGAATGTTACATTAAAATTTTAATTTCAAAAATAACAACAATATTAATAATATACTATTATTTGATTTACTGGTACCATAGTACCTTAAAGATAATACTATTTATGCTATAATGATTTGGTTTTCACCTAGTATAATTTTACATTTATTTGAGTACTGTATTTAAAGAATTACAATGTTAATATATTTACTTACGTGACCCAGTAGAGATTTTTCACCTTTTAAGGTCAATTCTATGGTTTGTACATTTAGATCAACTTCTATGTCTGAGGAAGATAATATTTTAGATCCTAAATCAAATGCAATATCGTTCTCTATATATTCTTCAACAAACACAGCTAATTGAAAATCAGATGTTGCATAGAAGTTTATTTTCAATATCCCTCCGGAATTCACTTTAAACGGATTAGAAGTTATACAGTTGGATACACCATTTTCACTTGGTATAATTCCAAAAATATGAAATTTCCATGACGCTTCTATATCACTGCATCGATTAGCGGGATCAGAGAATAAGTGTTCAAATTTATTATCAAAGTTATATACGATACAAATATCACTTTCTTGTGTGACAGTTGTTGTTTCTGTTGACGTTATTGCAGTTGTTATTGTTGTGTCAACTGTTGTAGATTCGATCGTTGTTATTTCCGTCTGTGTGTCACTTATTGTTACAATGCTTGTTGTTGTTGTTGGGTCAGTCGTTATTGTTTCCGTCCATGATGTTTCTGTTATTGTTATAATTGTGTCTGTGCTCGTTGCATCAGTTATTGTTTCGGTCAGTGATGTTTCAGTAGTTGTTGTATCAGTCATTGTTACTTCTGTCTGTGGTGTTTCCGTTGTTGTTGTTTTCGTTGATGATATTTCTGACGTTACTGTATCCGTCGTTATTTCGGTTGTTGTATCACTCGTCGTATCAATTATATCATTTCCATAAATTTTACAATTGTCTGCTTCGGTTTGATACTGAGGTGGAATATAACGAAAGGAGTCCACTAAAAGAAAAGAATTAGAAGAGGCTTTTCCAAGAAAAGCAATCTGTGAATATGAGAACAAAAAAAATGTATTAGAAAATAATTGTAAAATTAAAGATTAAGCGCAAAATTCATCCCAGTATTAAATATTTTAGGTTAAAGAAATATTATTGAAACTATACAATTTTATTTTCTGTGATTAAAAAAATAGATATAGTATTCTCTTATCGTATTATTTTATTTAATAGGCATATCAACTAATAATTGTTTCATAAAAAAATTACTGATGTCTATGATTAAATTTTTCTTTTTTAAAGTCTTTAACGTGTCATTTTAGAAACCAATCCATTAATGAGTCTACTGATGAACAGTCAATATCTATCTATCCATTTAAGAGCTGCGCTCTTGTCGGTGGGGCTCTTGCCACTCACTACGATTAACAATAAGTAGTTTTTATTTACTAATAAATAACTGAATAAACCATCTGCGATACTTATAAAACTGATGAATACTTACGTATCCCCTAAAAGTTGCACTGCCATCTAATGTAATGTTTATAACATTCCATCCTCGATTTAAATCTGAATTGGAATTAATTGATACTTGTCCAACAACATTCCTATCAGCTGATTCAGATTCTCCTTCATATGCCACGACCCTTATCAAATCCGTCGAAGCAGTGGGCTGAGCGAAAACATTAAACTGCAAAACTCCTCTAGTAGCCATATGAAATGTTGAAGTCAATATACAAGCAAATCCTATGGATACTGACGGCGGAAATATATAAGAAAAGCTATTTTCGTGTAGACTATCTACATTTATCTGGGAGTATTTTCCAAAACTCCAATTAGGTAAGCCCGAACAAACTCCGACATTAGATGCCAGCGTGTTGGAGGTATCCTCAAAACTATCAACGTAACATGTTGATTCGCTGCTTGTTGATTCGGTCGTTGTTGTGACAGTTGTTGTTGTACTGGATGCATCATCCTCATAAAATTCACAATAGTCTTCTTCTGATAAGTACTGAGGCGGAATGTATCGAAAAGAGTCCACTAAAAGAATGGAATTAGGAACTGCTTTCCCGAGAAATGCCACCTATGAATATTGAAACATAAAAATATCAATATCTTAACAATACATTGTACACTAGAGCAAGATTTTGATCTATCACCAACGAGTATGATTTACGTCTGAGCTAAAGGTGAGGGTTTTATATCGTACACATTAGGAATCGTTATTTTGTTTAGTAAATTTGATTTACATCTCATCATGTTCCATTTTTCATTAACATTATATTATTTAGTGTACGATGTATTAAATTGTTTATATAAAATATAATATAAAACATTAATATAATATATAAATTTATCATTTACAAATGTCTGCTTTTGTGTTTATTAAGAAAAATTGCATCGTGTCCAATTACTAATAAATAACTAAAAAAAAACCATCTGCAACACTTGTAAAACTGCTAAATACTTACGTATCCCCTAAAGGTTGCACTGCCATCTAATGTAATGTTTATAACATTCCATCCTCGATTTAAATCTGAATTGGAATTAACTGATACTTGTCCAACAACATTCCTATCAGCTGATTCAGATTCTCCTTCATATGCCACGACCCTTATCAAATCCGTCGAAGCAGTGGGCTGAGCGAAAACATTAAACTGCAAAACTCCTCTAGTAGCCATATGAAATGTTGAAGTCAATATACAAGCAAATCCTATGGATACTGACGGCGGAAATATATAAGAAAAGCTATTTTCGTGTAGACTATCTACATTTATCTGGGAGTATTTTCCAAAACTCCAATTAGGTAAGCCCGAACAAACTCCGACATTAGATGCCAGCGTGTTGGAGGTATCCTCAAAACTATCAACGTAACATGTTGATTCGCTGCTTGTTGATTCGGTCGTAGTTGTGACAGTTGTTGTTGTACTGGATGCATCATCCTCATAAAATTCACAATAGTCTTCTTCTGATAAGTACTGAGGCGGAATGTATCGAAAAGAGTCCACTAGAAGAATGGAATTAGGAACTGCTTTCCCGAGAAATGCCACCTATGAATATTGAAACATAAAAATATCAATATCTTAACAATACATTGTACACTAAAGCAAGATTTTGATCTATCACCAACGAGTATGATTTACGTCTGAGCTAAAGGTGAGGGTTTTATATCGTACACATTAGGAATCGTTATTTTGTTTAGTAAATTTGATTTACATCTCATCATGTTCCATTTTTCATTAACATTATATTATTTAGTGTACGATGTATTAAATTGTTTATATAAAATATAATATATAAATTTATCATTTACAAATGTCTGCTTTTGTCTTTATTAAGAAAAATTGCATCGTGTCCAATTACTAATAAATAACTGAAAAAAAAACCATCTGCAACACTTGTAAAACTGCTAAATACTTACGTATCCCCTAAAGGTTGCACTGCCATCTAATGTAATGTTTATAACATTCCATCCTCGATTTAAATCTGAATTGGAATTAATTGATACTTGTCCAACAACATTCCTATCAGCTGATTCAGATTCTCCTTCATATGCCACGACCCTTATCAAATCCGTCGAAGCAGTGGGCTGAGCGAAAACATTAAACTGCAAAACTCCTCTAGTAGCCATATGAAATGTTGAAGTCAATATACAAGCAAATCCTATGGATACTGACGGCGGAAATATATAAGAAAAGCTATTTTCGTGTAGACTATCTACATTTATCTGGGAGTATTTTCCAAAACTCCAATTAGGTAAGCCCGAACAAACTCCGACATTAGATGCCAGCGCGTTGGAGGTATCCTCAAAACTATCAACGTAACATGTTGATTCGCTGCTTGTTGATTCGGTCGTAGTTGTGACAGTTGTTGTTGTACTGGATGCATCATCCTCATAAAATTCACAATAGTCTTCTTCTGATAAGTACTGAGGCGGAATGTATCGAAAAGAGTCCACTAAAAGAATGGAATTAGGAACTGCTTTCCCGAGAAATGCCACCTATGAATATTGAAACATAAAAATATCAATATCTTAACAATACATTGTACACTAAAGCAAGATTTTGATCTATCACCAACGAGTATGATTTACGTCTGAGCTAAAGGTGAGGGTTTTATATCGTACACATTAGGAATCGTTATTTTGTTTAGTAAATTTGATTTACATCTCATCATGTTCCATTTTTCATTAACATTATATTATTTAGTGTACGATGTATTAAATTGTTTATATAAAATATAATATAAAACATTAGTATAATATATAAATTTATCATTTACAAATGTCTGCTTTTGTGTTTATTAAGAAAAATTGCATCGTGTCCAATTACTAATAAATAACTGAAAAAAAAACCATCTGCAACACTTGTAAAACTGCTAAATACTTACGTATCCCCTAAAGGTTGTACTGCCATCTAATGTAATGTTTATAACATTCCATCCTCGATTTAAATCTGAATTGGAATTAATTGATACTTGTCCAACAACATTCCTATCAGCTGATTCAGATTCTCCTTCATATACCACGATTCTTATCAAATCTGTAGAAACAGTGGGCTGAGCGAAAACATTAAACTGTAAAACTCCTTTAGCGGCCATATGAAATGTTGGAGTCAAGCCACAAGTAAATCCAATAGATTCCGATGGCAGAAATATATAAGAAAAGTTGCTGCCAGCTTGACTTTCTACATTTATCTGGGAGTACTTTTCATCATTCCAATGTAATATTTCCGAACAAACTCCGACATTACTGTCAATGTAATATTTATCACCATATGCAAAAAAACTTGTGAGCAAAATAATGAAACTACCAAACCTATCCATTGTGAGTACAGTAACTAAATCAAAGGCAATTAATAAAATTATTATGAGGATTGTTCACTATGTAATTGACTTATATTAATTCTCATTGATAAGAAATTGTAAAAAAAATGTTACTATTAATTGAAGTTAAGATAATTATCAATACTATCATTAATTGATTATCAAATTATATATTGATATCGTAATCAAACAATAAGGGCTAGGTATGCTCTACTTGTATCCCTATGAATAATTTTTGGATTACGATCTTGATCTATACCTTTTGTATGTTATAATGTTGTAATTTACAGGGTACAGAGGAATAACACCTGAGTTCTTAGGATTGGCAACGCATGGGGGATATCATGGGCGAAACAGTATACTCTGTAATGTCCATGGTACTAGCCATGTCTGTATGTAATTTAAATTAATAAGTAGTAATAAGCTGTAATACATCAAAATATAAAACGTACAATTATTTACTAATTAGCATACAAAACAGAATGCAATAACTTTAAAGACTATACTAGTTTTTTTTTTTACTTAGAATAGCAAACAAGCTGACGGCCCACCTGATGGAAAGTGGTAACTGTCGCCTATAGACATGAGCAGTACCATGGACATAACAGAGTATACTGTTTCGCCCATGATACCCCCATGCGTTGCCATTCCTGAGGACTCAGGTGTTATTCCTCTGTACCCAGTAAATTAACGCCATATCTCACCCTTCAAACCGAAACACAGCCATGCAAACACAACTGCTTCACGGTTGAAACACGAATGGGACAGACGTACCCAAGCAATCGACTTTTGTACAAAGTCTCCCTCTGGTAACTCGCTCGCTGAGTAACTGGTAGCTTTTGCATACGGGCAATTGTGTAGGACCTCGTTTCGGTTTCATAAGTCATCACTGGCAACACGCACTGGTTAAACACCTTCATCTTCAAAATCTGAGGTATTTTGGATGAAAAGATGTGGCGTATTTTCCCGAATGCTGCCCAGCTAAGTTGGATTCATCGGTTGACCTCTCGGTCGAAGTTGAACTTTCCCATTCGGACAACTTGTCCCTCTAATTATTAATTTATTTTACTATTTAAACTATTCATGTGAGAGTAATGCTCCTTAACATCAGGAGAAAATGAGAAAGAAGGGAGTTCTACTTAAGTCACTACAAAGGACTCTGACGTGATTTATCCGACTATAACTTTACTCTTCTGATCTACGAAATAGGTGACAATCATTTTTTTAAATTAAACCTTTCATAGGTTTAGGCTGTGATTCGGTTTTGGAACTTCCTGAACCACAGTCAAGTGTTATCCAACTAAACTGTCACGCTTGATTATTTACATATCTAAAAATAATTAAAACCAAAATTATAATTTACAATAAGTTTTATTATAAAATGTGTTTCATTTTTATACTAAGCATTTTATACATTATCTGTTAAAAAATGATTTATCTTTTTCCCGTTTCTCATATTCGTCAAATGGGATGCAATTATCTTCGTTGCCTGAAGGAGGAATGTATTGGAATGATTCTACGATTAAAGATAAATCAGTCGACGATTTTCCCACAATGATGATCTAAAATAAAAAAAAATATAATAATAAATCAAGAAGTCCTTCTGAAAGAAATTATACGTCTAAAATTTTGGACGTCCTATTGCTTGATTGCTACTCCGTTACGCTTAAACGGCTGAGCAGAGCGGACATAGTAAAATTTAGTTAGACCATACTCTAACGTGACATATAGTCTATTTTATGTACAAATACGATTATACCTGAAAATATATTCAATTTTAAAATATAATATATCTAGATGTTCTTTGTTCATTCACGTTTTTACTGTTAAATATACTACTGCCGCTGCTGTATACATCGCTGATTATATTGAAAGACGGTATTCTAATTTAATTTATTTGATTATTAATCTCAAATGTATTAACTATTTGAAAAATAACAATGTTAATATTTTAACTTACGTGACCCAGTCGAGATTCTTCACCCCATAACCTCAATTCCATGGTTTGTACATTCAGACCAACTTCTGTATCTGAGGAAGATAATGTTTCAGATCCTAAAACGAATCCAATGCCGTTCTCTATATATTCTTCAACAACCACAGCTAATTGAAAATAAGATGTTGCATAGAAATTTATTTTCAATATCCCTCCGGAATTCACTTTAAACGGATTAGAAGTTAAACAGTTGAATACACCATTTTCACTTGGTGTAATTCCAAGAATGAAAAGTTTCCATGATGCTTCTATACCATTACAACGATTAACGGGATCAGAGAATAATTGTTCAAATTTGTTATCAAAATTATATACGATACAAACATCATTTTCTTGTGTAACAGTCGTTGTTTCTGTTTGTGTTATTGTAGTGGTTGTTGTGTCAACTGTTGTCGATTCGGTCGTAGTTGTCTCCGTTTGTGGTGTTTCAGTCGTTGTTGTAACGGTTGTTGTTGAATCAGTCGTAGTAGTCTCTGTCCAGGGTATTTCAGTTGTTGTTGTACTGATCGTTGTCGTTTCAGTCGTTGTTGTACCAGTCGTCGTTTCGGTTCGTGGTGTTTCAGTAGTTGTTGTTGTTGAATCAGTCGTAGTAGTCTCCGTCCAGGATATTTCAGTAGTTGTTGTACTGATAGTTGTCGTTTCAGTCGTTGTTGTATTAGTCGTTGTTGTATCAGTCGTTGTCGTATCACTTGCGCCATCTTCATAAATTTCACAATAATCTGAATCGGTTGTATACTCAGCTGGTATATATCGAAAAGAGTCAACTAAAAGAATAGAACTCAGTGAAGCTCGTCCAACAAAAGATACCTGTAAATGTAAAAATAAGAAAATCTTTAAAAAGACATCATATAGAAGTATGTATATATTCTAGAATATATAGCATACCCTAATTTAATAAAGAAAAACACTGCAATTTATACATTTTTATGTTCGTGTTATAAGAAAATAATGTTCGAGCTCCTACTTAATAGTTTAATACTATTTATCGTTATTAAGAACTATTAAGTGTTAAAATAAATAAATAAACATCTTATCGTCAAACAAAAAGCAATAAGACTTAGAAGAATATTAAGAACTATTGTTATTGTTAAAACTTATATCTGTATTGATTTAAGGGGGATATCAGCCCGCTGTTATCACTTCCTACAATATCATATCGGTTAAAATGCGTATTAATGTGTCATTGAATTTTTACTGTCACTTTTCGGATTAATAAATATTGAAATATATAGTCTCAGATTTTGGACTTCTTAAGAAATCAATTGTTAACTGTATAGGAACCGTATGTAAATGTATAATTTTGAATAATGTTACAAAAGGAATACTTACATATCCATTAAAAGATTCACTGCCGTCTAATGTTACGTTTATAATATTCCATCCTCGATTCAAACCTGCATTGGAACTGATTGATACTTGGCCAACAATATTTCTGTCTGTTGTGCCAGATTCTCCTTCGTATGCCACGATCGTTATTAAATCAGTAGAAATAGTAATCTGTGAGAAAACATTGAACTGCAACACTCCTGCAGCGGCCATACGAAATGTTGGAGTCAACACACAAGCAAATCCTATTGATACCGACGGTGGAGATATAAAAGAAAGACTGTTTTCATGCTGACTCTCTATATTTATCTGGGAATATTTTCCATAATTCCAAGCAGGTAGACCCGAACAAACCCCAACATTAGATGCAAGTGTACTGGATATATCCTCAAAACTGTCAACGTAACACTCATCACAGTAAGCATATGAACTTGTTAGTAATATTATAAGGAAACCACTAAACCAATCCATTATGAATGCAATAAATAAATCAGAGACGATGAATAAAATTATTTTGATCGTTGTTCATTATGCAGCTGCCTTATATCTATTCTTGTTGATAACAAGTTACAATATATGTGAATACTAATCTACGATAGGATAATTATCAAAATTCTTATTAAACAAATATTGATATCTGAGTGCGTCAACAAGTTTATGTTCAATTCACAATATGACTTTCCGCCAATGCCATGGTAACATTATTTTCCTGTATTTTTTTGCCATAGATAGAAGACAAATAGAGTGTTAATCTCTACTATTCTCGACTTATCGATACTGTTTGAATTATATCAGTTAACTGCCCACTACTGAATATGAGCCACTCTCATAGACTGCATATAAATAAATAGAGATGTTAACAATATTATTTTAAGGACAGATAGACCGTTCAAAACTATATATACAAAAACTTGCGGTGCTCTTTTAGATCTATTAGATTTTTTTTAATATAAATAATCATTAATCCGACAATTGTCTTTAATAATTTAATATATAAACAGAAAACTATGGAAATAAATTCTTGTCTTTTTTAACAAATACATTCATTTCACATATATATGTGTGTGTGCGTGCGTGTGCGTGCGTGTGCGTGTGCGTGTGCGTGTGCGTGTGCGTGTGAGTGTGCGTGTGCGTGTGCGTGTGCGTGTGCGTGTGCGTGTGCGTGTGCGTTTGCGTGTGTATGTGTGTGTGATTGACATGTGACATGATTACAAAAATTTAGATGTTGACGCTGGGATTTAATATTAATATCCCCAGGTGGCAATCAAGCATTGTCCGACTAACTACCTAAATGAAATCAGATTTTTATTTTTATATAAATAAAACCTTTTTTCATGACTTTACTTGCTGGGTTCTTATTTGTTACAAATGTTCACCCTGCAGGAAAAATATAATTTAAAATACATTAATGGAACAAAAAACATTTAGGCTGGTATAATCAGATATAGTTATAAATTAAATATAGATTCGCAACTATCAGTTTAGTAAAGCAGAAACTACTACTACATGACCAAGGTCATTGAACCTTACAACTAAAACAAGATAACAGAGATAAGGAATTTATTGTTAATTATAACGTAGTCATAGAATATAAAATATAAAAAGGGATTGTTAGCAATGAAGTTTCATAGTCTCATTGCTAGCAATATGCCCTGTTAGGTCGACCCCCACGTGTTTCCCCATGGAAACCATCGTGAACAATTCTTCTTGAATTTGTCACGATGGGCTAATAGACCTGCTTCATACTCACCTATCATCCTTCACAGGTGTCCCGCCAGGCAGTAGGACTGTAGCGCGGGTGGGGTTACCATTCCATTATCACCCATTATATATATATATATATATATATATATATATATATATATATATATATATATATATATATATATATATATATATATATATATATATATATATAACATACCTACGTATATAGCATGTTAATACTGAACCTGTTCTTATCAATACAAGTTAACATATGATAAAATCAATAATAACTCAGTAAAACGGGGGAATAACAAGTATCTTTTATATCGTACACCACTTTACTTAATTAGGCTTTAGTTATAACTAGCAACTCGCTCCGGCTTCGCACGGATTTTTTACTAAAAATATAAAATAGCCTACTATAGATTACTTCGAGGAGATGCAGCATCGCGCATTATTTTGATTTTGCTATATCTTCTAAGGTATTTATTTAATTTGCATGGCCTAAAAGGGAAAAGTAATCTCTATGAAATGCTCAAGCCAACTAATGTATTTAAAATGATAAGGATTAATACTGTATTTGTGTAAATAGCTTTCCAGTTACCGCTTTATAATTGCCCATTGTTAAAGTATTAAAATGGATATAGTATGTTATCCTTAAGAGATAAACATATGCCATCACGGACTTTTCTGTAGATCTATATAAGATACATAATTCTACCATACATTATTCTATTATGTCTCAAAGGGTTTAGGCAGCGTTTTTGTTTAAAGCTCCCAGACGGCTTATTTTCTTCCTACAAATATTGTTATATTTTAGCTAATGTATACAAAAACTTAACAAAATATATAAACTAAACCCTTCCTCGAGAACCGCTTTATCTATTTATGAAAACAGCACGAAAATTGGTGCAGTAGTTGTTGAGTTTATCGCAAATAGACAGACAGACGCGGCGAAGGACTCTGTTTTATATGTAGTAATTTTTAACCTATATTGAATGGTCAATATACCTACTGCAAAAGTTAACTGTCCACTGCTGAACATAGGCCTCTGCCTATTGGCGCGTTTTGCCAATAATCGTCACGCTTGGCAGGTGGGTTGGCAACCGCAGTTAATTAGAACCACATTAGTTATTTAGAATTTGGATTTAATGACTACAAGAATGTATGGAACATTACATAAATACTACCTATAGTGTTTATTATAATTATTTAATTTTTATTAGAAATATTTGATCAGTTGTTTGATCTATTATTATAAAAAGAGATAGGAGCATTTAGCGTTACATTGTTTCTGTCTACCCTAATGAGAGACAGGCGCGACAGATATGTATGTATGTATAAGTAGAGAAATTAATATGTAAATAATGTTTTATTAAATAAAATACTATTAACAAATAATAAAGGTTTAAGTTAATATATTAAGAATAAATAATAATAAAAATGCATTTCACTGATCTAATTCTCAAATAGTACACAAGTCCTCAGGAATGGCAACGCATGGGGGTATCGTGGGCGAAACAGTATGCTCTGTTATGTCCATGGTACTGCTCATGTCCATTGGCGACGGTTACCATTTTCCATCAGGTGGGCCGTCAGCTTGTTTGCCATTCTAAGTTATATAAAAAAAAAATTAACAAATGTAAAGATATTCAATTTTAATAATTATATTTATCTCGGCATCTAAATATAAATATGATTAACAATTTAAAATCGTTTTCCTTATAGTTCTGTATTATTCCGTATAATTTTTATCTTTGATATCGTTGTAATCACAGATAGCAATATTCTCGATTATAAACATTTGTCAAAACTGATTTCTATGTGTTAAAGGCAGCCATTATAATTTAAGACTGTGTTCCACTAAAATATCGACTCCAATCGTAGCAAATTCAATTATTTTGATTTTTAAAACTAAATTACTGAATCAATTTTGATAAAATTTGTATTAGACCTTAATCTGAAAGTATATGTTTTCAATTAAAAAGAGATTTTTCAAATCCGTTTATAACTGACGGAGATATGAGATAACGAACATAAACATCATCCTTGTTCTGAGCTCAGTTTTATTTATTTATTTATTTATTAGTACAAATATATGTACATGGCGGACTTAATTCTAAAAGCATTCTCTCCCAGTCAAGTATAGGGAAGTGTCAGAATACTCGAATGCGGAATTATTGATATACATACATACTAAAATTACATATATAAACTAATAAATATATATGAATATAAATTAATATAAAGTTTTCAATCTGGTTGTATTCTTTTTATGTTTAAAAAATTATTTTTTTATTTGAAAGTATATATTTTATTTACAAATGGGTCCCATAGAAATTAAAAAAAAGTTAAAGTCAACTAAAGTTTTTGAGTTTATATGGATAAAATTAAAATTTTTCCTTTTTAAAATATTTTTCATTTACACTTTATTGTACACAAAATTGCATTGTTATAATTTATTCTAAATAAAGATGTATAACAAGCGAACTTAACTCTGTAAGAGTTCTCTTCCAGCAAACCCTGAGTGGAAAGGAGCATTAATTACCAGTTAGCAGTGTGCGTACAATAAGAAACGGTATCAGTATATTTGTTTCTAGTAAGAAATAATAAATATGCTTACCTAAATACAAAGTAACTTATATTCAAAATACATACATATCTGTATATAATAATACGTATATATAATATATACAAAATATTTACATATACATACACAAACATAATGAGTTTATGAAGACAGGACAGGTATAAATAACTTATATATATATATATATATATATATATATTTGTAATATTGTTTCATTCATAACTTCTAAGAGATGTATAGTAATATACTTACGTTTGAGTTTGGAGAAAGTTATGATCATCCTTCCTGGAATTATTCTAGTTACATCGAAGTTAATATGAAAGAGCTACGCTCAAACAGAACACCGTTTAATTAGCCCTACTACATATTGTAGATAAGTATTTATATTTTCTATGATAACTAGAAGACTCTTATAATCATAGATTAGGCCGCCCCTCCTTCTCTATTTTTGTAATAGCAAACGTCATAGAGATTACTTAGACCATTAAGGTGTTATAAGGTAACAAATAAATAAACAAACCCAGTTTCACATTTATAATATTATATCAGTAAGGGTAACCATTCAAGAAAAAAAATTAAATCCAATGAGAGAAATATAACCCAACATCGACCGAAGCGTTGCTTAATATATTTTGATTTTCTGACATCAACTTTTTTTTTATATTAATTTATAATGACACGGATAGCTGGTCATATTTATATGAGTATATTATTCTCAATTTCGTGTATAATATAGTACATGTCATATATGTGTAAGTATATTTGTTATTTATATATATATATATATATATATATATATATATATTTATTTATTAGTTAATATATGTATTTATTCGTTTATATGTAATGTTAGTATGTATGTATATCAATAATTACTAGTACCGCATTCTAGTATTCTGACACTTCCCTATGGTTGACTGGGAGAGAATGCTTTTAGCATTAAATCCTCCATGTACACATATTTGTACTAATGAATAAATAAATAAATTATACAGTAATAAATAATATATCTATCATAATAATTATAATAAATTATTGAAAATAGTTTGCTTAAAATAACCTCATCAATTAAAATAATCCTTATTAAAATAAAAAAAAGTGAAAGTAAATTAAAAATTAACAACTCGACCAATCGTAATGAAATTTAGTATTATGGTCAGTCAATATGTCTGCATGCACGGACCAAGTCGCGGGTAAAAGCTAGTTGTTCAGTAATTATGTCACGTATACAGTTCTCTTTGTAATTGAAAACAT